CCTTGAGACAAATTAAGAGTTGTTTTTCACTGCTTCCTGTTATATAACTATTGTTATGTTTCTTTACAAGTCACACAAATATGTAAAATACACAATTGTTGCAAATGGATTTCTGACACGTGTACAATTATCTAATAAAAGTAAAACATACAAATATTTGTTATATTACTATTTCAATTTCATTTACTAGTGGAATGAAAGTAAGGGCTTATTTTTGAACGACTGTTTCTTAATTTATCACATTTTATTACTAAAAGTTGTTTTAATGGATGGTAATGATTGAGAGGCTGGTGTGTTAATTGTGTTTGGTAGTCTGGATTTTCTAATTAACCAGTTGCTGAAGGAATAATTATAGCAAAAAAAGTTGAAAACAGATGAAATCTACGTTACACCATTCTCTAAACTTCTAAATCATTGCTTCACTTAAGTTACACTTACTGGCTTTTCTTAAAGGGATGAACCAATCACAAAGCATCAAGTTAAGCCTACCATGACAAAGAAGTTCATTAGCTGATAAAACTATCAGGGCAACATTTTTTCTGTACCATAACTGTTGGGTATTGGATTAGGATTTGAAGAAAATGAAAACAGTTTAGAGCTAGATATTTGAATGATGTATTAAAAAAATTGTATAATTATACTATACACCGTATAGTATTCACTGTTATGTTATTTATTACAAATAGAAATATTATGCTATGTATATTCAAATTTATTGAATGTCAAGATTTTTTAGCACTATTTGTCATTTTCTGAGCTCCATTTTGAAAGATGTTGAGCAGAAAATAAATCAAAATTAACTGAGCTCTAGGTAAAGCTAGTGTCATATGAAAAACAAGAAGTTTTTACTAATGTTCTGCTCATTCTTAATTCACCCCTAAAGAAGGTACAGATAGGAATCCATGTACAGTAACTGAAGCACTGGGTTTCTTTTAAATAGAACCTCAAAGTTTTTGTGAAAGTTGTGATACTTCATCAATCATTGAAGTTAAAGCTGTCATCTCTCATAAGAGTGAAATATGCCCTACAATATATGAAAATTTGGGCATTTTAAACTCTTTAAAACCCTTCAAAATTTCTTTACAAAATACACAAAAATAAAACAATTATAATAAGTAAATCAAAACTATAAAAAGAGCCTTAAACATGCTTAGAGAACTGTCTCTTCTCTTTAAAGAATATTTTAAAATACTAGTTTGTCTATGTAACCAAATTTCATCACTTTAGCTGTAGTTCATTAACGTCACTAAAAATTCAAAATAAACCACTATTTACATAAATTATTTAGTGACTAAAATAATTACAATTACATGTATAATCACACAAAAAGTTATTATATCTAATACCCATTTAAAGTAAGTCACGCAACTCAAAAAGGTTTGAGCGAAGGACTACAGAACATAAATTTTAAGGGCAAGAGACCTGTTGGTCCATCTAGGTTGTCTCATCCATTAAACTAAACTTTCAAAAAAACAGCTCAAGCCAGCCCTCTCAATTAAATATTTATCAAGCATTCCCTTAAATTTATCCCATTTGACAGAAACCCATTCTAAGGGCCAACCACACTGTTAATAAAATAAAACTGCTTTAGCTGAAAATGATTCCAACACTGCCAACATTTATACTTGTGATCCCTAGTCCTACAATTTTCATCATTAAATTGAAATAGGGAAAAAAAGGTGACATATGACACTATCAATTACCTTAACAATCTACAACACCTCAATTAGATTCCATCTAACTCTTCTTCTTTTTTTAAGATAAAACAATTTCAAAAATTTTAACCTTTTTTCATATGCCAACAATTCAATTTCAATATCCTTCCTAAGGTAAAGGAGCCCTAGACTGAACACAATACTTCAAATGAGACTTAACCAGTGACCTATAGTATGAAATCACAACTTTTTTAGAATTATATTAAATATTTCTGTAGATACAAACTAAAATCCTATTTGTCCTACAACTAGCAACAGAACCCTGCTTAAGACTGATCAATCAGAATGCCAAGATCCTTTTCTTCAATAACATTATCAAGGTTATTCTTATCATAATTATAATTTATGATAACTCTCATAACACCACATTAAAAGACAACAAGAGACCTTTTGGACCATCCAGGCTGTCCTATCCAATAAATTAAACACTAAAACCTCAAAGCCAACCTTTATAATTTAAACATTAATCATGCTTTCCCGTAAACCCCCTTAAATTAACTGCATCTACCACAACTGAAAGCAACATATTCCAAAGGCCAACCAGCCTGTTAGAAAAATAAGCTGTCTCAGTTGAAAATCACTCCTACCCTGCCAACATTTATATTTGTGTCTCCTAGTCTTACCATTCTCACCATTAAGTACAAAAAAATGATGCATCAACACTATCAATTCCCTTAACAATTTTAAACACCTCAATCAGATCCCCTCTAACTCTTTTGTTTCAAAAGAAAACAAGTTCAGAAATATTAGCCTTTCAGCCCAGGCATCATCCTAGTGTCCCTCTTCTGAATTCTTTCCAACAATTCAGTATCCTTTCCGAGGTAAGAAGCCCAAAACTGAAGACATGCACAACTTTGCATTCATTATAATTAAAAGCCATCTGTTACATATTTGTCCAACTCACCACATAATCTAAATCTGTTTGTAAAACAGTAGCATCCTCCTCACAGCCAACAACACCAAAACCTTTAAGTTTAAAACTTTAATATCATCAACAAATTTAAACAACTATTATAATACTTTAAATATGATGTTAAATGTTAAGTTCTTTTACTGTATTATAATTTATAGAAAGAATAAATATTGATTAGAGGTTACTTAAAAGGGAACAATTACTAGAATAATTCCTGATTTAAGTTATGAGACTAGACAAAAATAATTTCATATATTTCCTATGATATATTTCTTGGGAAAATAAAATTGAAATTAAAGTTGAACGCTAAAATTTATAGATATAACCTCTCAAAGATTACATACAGGCATTTTTTGTCGAACAGCTGAGCTTAATAACTAGACCATGAATGAGTTTGGATAATGTACCAATGTACGTCACAGTCTAGAATTACAAACCTTTAAAAACCGACAGCTGGACAATTTTTTGCTAATACTGTATGAGGAAATATGGCACACCTCTTAAGGCTTATAATTTTATATACCAATATATTTAGTATTATTATTATCTCCTTAATTGCAAAATTACATTATAATGTATCAGAGACGACATAGTAGAATTTCGGCTAAGTTTCAAACCTCGCTTAAAACGTTATGGCCTACGATTCATTTAGTTTTATTGTTAACAATCTTATACTAATAGTAATACCAACATTTAATACTCCAGCCTCGGGTGCTAATATTAATAACTAGTAGTACTAGTACTGTACGATATATCAATTATTTTACCATTTGAAAATGACAAAAAGACTGTACCCTTAAGCGAATTTTTGGTCCTAAAATTTGCAGAAACAAATAGGTCACGTTTCAGTGAAATATAATCAAAAATATACATGAATACTAAACAATCACGTGCTAACGACTGATCCCAAACCAAAGTACGCCAATTGATCTAGGGTGTTAGGCGGAGCTTTCTACCGTATTAATTAAGATGATTATTTAAACGTGTAATAAACAATGTGTGAAACAGTACGAAGTGAAAAGTCATATTGGAAATGTCAACTACGACCTACAAGTTAACGAAACACTACCACACAAAGTGTAATGATTATCCGTGACTTTTAGTACCTTTAATTATGCTATTTAGTTTCCATATTCACCGTATGATACAATTACCATTTTCCTAACTAAAAATTATAGATATTTTTACTTGTACATAACGTAAATAAAAAATTCTGACGATCTTTCGTTTTCATAAATGTTTACTCATGTAATTTACAATTATGATGCAGTATTTGTCGTGTTAAATATTATAGCGTCTGTAATACATTTATTTTAGAATTATCATTTTTTTATATTGTACGTAAGTTTTTATGTTTATATACGTCGTCTGTTTATATTTTCTAAGACATCGTAGTGTCCATAAATATCCAATAATAGACTAGATAGGACACTAGATTTATGAGAAATTTCCACAAGGCCACTATCTCGGAGAGGTTAATGTTTCAGCTATGATGTATTTCTCTGTATACAAGATTACTAAAAAAAATTAATTTAAAAAGAGGTAATAGGGATCTTCAAAAAATTACAGGAACAAGAAAGGTAGCTTAAAGTGAAAATGCAATTGCAAAAAAAAAGTAAATAAACAACCTTAAGGTTTGAAACATAGTGATGACATCATTTTTTCAAGCTACAAATCCCTGAAACAGTTTTGTTTTATGAAGTACGTAGTCGGTGTATGATGCTCTCTTTGGATTAGCTTCATGCAGATTGGATAACTATTGCTCCTGTTATCATTGATAGTAGTACTACATTATGATACATGATGATAAACATAAACCATGTCATTTATATGCTTGTAAAATATGTATAACTACTATATTTATGCCCTGTAGCTATATGGGAAGCCTTTAGATACTGGATTGAAGGGACTACTGAACTATACTGGAATGGTGCATTTACTAGATTTTGTAACACATGAGTTTAATACATGCATGCACATACAATGCATGTTGGCTAGTATATATATATATATATAGTTGTTGTTTTTTTTTATTCCTGTAAACTCCCAGTGAAGCAACGGAAGGTGTTGTTGCAGTTACTTGTAGCAGGTTGGTTTTTACGGGGTGGAGTGCTAGCCCCGCGCCCAACCCTCCCCCTTTCTCATCCCGAACTTGGGCCCAGGCAAAGGCGGAGGTTGGCATGTTTGGTGTGACGGGGATTCGAGTCGAGCGCCCTAACCATCTGGCCATGCCGGGCCCATATATATATAGAGAGTCATGTGAATTTTTTCAAGTTGTATAGATGCATGTATATGTATTCAATCCAATTATAAGACAATATGTAAAAATATAATAGCATATGTATGCAATTAGCATTTTAAATATTTCTTATAATTGTTATATTCCCCATTCCTCCTCCTCTCTGTTGGCCATAGAAAGGTCAGTCACGGTTTTGCTGCAGCTAGCCAGATTTCGTCTTAAAGATACATTGTGCACACTCTACAAGGTCTAAAACGTGTTAATTAACAATTATGAATTGATTATATTAATATAATTCCTCCCTCCTCCATTTCTGATGGAGCTTTGGTCGTGATACTTCTACGACCCTCTTCCATTGTGATGACCATAAACTCTAAGTGTGCTGTCGCTGTTGCATACTTTATATGAAACTAAATATTTTCTCCATATCATATGTAGCTACGAATTTTTACCTCCCTTTTTTTCTAGAATCGCCATCTCCTGCTTGCACGATTCTTGCCACTCCTTGTAGTCAGCTTCAAGGATGGCCACTCTATCTGCAGTATTTATAAAATTCGCAATCACGCAGTGTTGGCTATAATTCGACACTTACCATCAGCTATCACCGTGATTGCCGATCCTATGCTCGAAACTGAGCTTGTTGCTATCTTTTAAACAACGAATTAAATATTTCTGTTGTGGGAGACAGCCTAGACGTTCGCATAACGTTAGTGTAACATGGCCGAAATCAATCATGCAGTGGTAAAAACAAAACAAAAAACTGTGATCCTGTCAGCAGCGTTGTGTGCGAAAGGTCAGGAACCATATACATAAATAAATAATACGCGATATCAATACAGTTGCAACAATAAGTTAATAATCGCTATGGTACATGTGTCATGCCTGCCATTTAAATATTAAATTACACACATAATTTGGTTCGTTTTTTTTTCTTCAAAACCTGCTAGAAAAGATGGATCAAGCATTTGGGGGGTAATTTATGGCAAACAATTGATTTTAATCAATTTGAAGGTGCTGAATTCAAATATTTTGTTTGCCCGCCTGGCAAATGGCTCCTTCACCCTCATATTGAAAAACAAAATGGTCGCCTTTTGCTCCTGGGGTTTGGTTATATATATATATTAATACATAGAGTTAAATTTTCTTTTAGTATGCAGTTTGTGTCAATTTGTAAATGCTAAGTTCAAAAATGGTGATTACAAACCTAAAGTTTGTCTCTTTCTTCCAAAAATTGAAGAAACAACCCATAATGGCGCACCTGTGTTTATTTAGGCGTAAGGGCTGCCTTTTCCATTTCTGCGTAATTGAATTAAATAGTATCTGGTATGTCTAAATTGTAACAAAATCAATGATCAATAGTAGAGGACAGCTTTTGGTCGTATGTTAATTTAGAAAATCTTATAAGGAGAAAAAACTAGTTGTCCATGTTCATGCAATTGCCTGCACATTTGTATATCCCACAACATCCCAACTTTGTCTTTTGATACTTGCATCGCATTGTTGAACAATTCGTCTTGCACTAACATATGATCAGTTTTTCACATACTTATGGTACTGGAGGTAGAGAGGACAGAATCGGGTGTAACTACCATCTTTAAGTACCCAACTATAATCAATCACAGGGGGAAGCTCTGGAAATGGAACGTATGTTTGTATCCAAATTAGAGCCTGATAGTGTACTCATGATATGAAACTTGGGAAAATCACAAGTTGGAGGAAGTTTGTCTAACTGTTGAGCGTTTTTAAGCTAGACCATTCGTGTTTGGTCAATGATATCAGTTTCAAGAGCAGATTAAAAAAATTTCATGCAAAATTTTCAGCATTCTTTATCTTTTCTGATGTCAAAGGGGCAATTCCAAATCCTTCTAGGAGTGCGCTTTGCTCAAAAAAGCATCTCAAAGCTGATTTCTTGTTATGGCCTGCCAAAGAGGATGCTGAGTTATTTCTGCTAAGGTCGTGAAATGGCAGAAGGTTGGACAGAATGCACAGCGCTAACAAGTACAGCAAAGAAACAATCTGAAATGTAGCTATCTAAGCCTGTCTTGATATCTAAAACCAACTCCTGACAACTAGTGTCATCTGTTATTTTTTCAACTGAATTATTTTATAATTGATAGATAATATATAGAATTAGTTGGTACTAATTGTGGCATATCAGACACAATTTTAAATTGGAATTTTTCAATCTGAAAGACGCTTTGGGATGAATTTCGAAAGCTTCTGAGAACCTGCTTTTATCCACAGTTATTCACATTGAAATTTCTCAAAATGGGCAAGTACCAACGGCAATATATCTGTGTCTAGAGCTTGTACAATAATGACAAAAGCGCTAGAATGGATACAGTGCAATATTATATGTGCATCTGCTTCTTCTTATCAGAGCAACATCCGATTGGCTGCAAAAGACTTGACTTTGCTGAATAAATCTCCCTGCACATACAATCACAGGTATCTCAACTGGTGTTGCTTGCCTTGAAATTATAATCATAGGAACCAACCCAATTCAATATCTTTTTCAGTGACAGCTAAAAAACCTGCCCAGTCATGAGGTATAGGACCACCGGAAGACTGAATTGACCTTATGTGGGTTTCCTGGTTGTGTTGCGCCTGCATCGAGTGACGGACCTCACAGACAAAATTTGATAATGGTCAAAGACAATGTCAAGAAACTTGAATTCTTCTAATACCTTAAAGACCAGTGTACAGAAAACACTAACAAAATCTCCAAAAATTTTCCTTGAAATCTTCCGAGGATATAGGTTACAGACATACCATCAATGATCAGTGTTGCATCTTCATATGAAGGCAGGCTCTTAGGGCAACTGATCTTTGCTGCCAGCTCGTCAATTAGAAGTGATTTCGATCCCGATCTCAAAGAGCCACTCAGTGCTGCTAAAGAAAGACGGACTGATGACAGTTCATGTCTCATAATTTCATTCAGGTCAACAGTTCGCCCAGCTTCATACGCAACATCAAGTCGCTGTAAGAGAGTCCAGTCAGATTTAATTGTCTTGGTTTTGTCCTTTCTCATACCTGAGTTGTTTAGTTCATACATGCTAGCAAGGACTGATAGATAAATTTATGAACAGCGCCAAAATAAATAAAAAATCGCGCTACACACTCTCAAACCGTAAATTCATTATAAGAGCGATGGTCAAATCCCGCTATTCGAATAGAATAGCCCATAGGCTGTTGGTGGATGGAGTTGACTAGCTATCTTTATTCTCGTTTATTATTTCAAAATTATGGACAACTAGCTATGCAAAAAGCAAAGAAACAATCTGAAATGTAGCTGTCTAAGCCTGTCTTAATATCTAAAACCAACTCTTGACAACTAGTGTCATCTGTTATTTTTTCAACTGAATTATTTTATAAATGATAGATAATATATAGAATTAGTTGGTACTAATTGTGGCATATCAGACATAATTTTAAATTGGAATTTTTCAATCTGAAAGACGCTTTATGTGCACATAAGATAAACAACTAGGTCAGAAAATCCTAGGATTCAGGTATAATCAGCCCTAATTTTGAACTGCAAACCAGAGGAAAGACAGCCAGCTAGGAGCACTCGCAGCCATTCTGTTTTTATTAGATCTATAATTCAAATAACAAATTAACTGTTACTTTTATGGTGTGCCCCCAACTCCCAATATACCACCGTTAGGCCACTTTCTGCCTATCAGTTTTAATTACATCCTTCTTTACTGTCCCTACAAGGGTTTACAGTAAGAAAAATGTATAATAGTACTTCACTTACTATTTATTTATTGCTGTCTCATAACAACTCATATAAATAATTTTGCAACTAAAGCTTTTTATGTTTATACATATAGCCCCAATAAGTTCTTAGGATTGAGTAAAAACTCACATCCTCACTGGTTAACAGATAAAGCATGGTCGAAATGCTTCTATATTATTCTTAGGAAAAATCCAAACTGGGCCAGTAAAGAAGTATATATTTTAAGTTATTATCAAATAATTTTTATGTTGTTACTAAGGCTTTTTGCGTAGCCCTCTAGCTTGGTAAATTTATACAGAAGTTATAAGGAAAACGTTAGTTAACCAACTGACCTTCAAAATTAGACCTTTGTATCGCACTAGATATATTTGTATCATCTTTGTATTTTTATATAATTAAAATCAACTCAACTCTTTTCTTAAATGTTTAGATAAGAAATATACTAGTTCTGAGTTCATCCGTTATATTTTGTAAAAAAATGTATATTGTTTCTTCGCCAGTTTTATATCAAATAATATAATTGGTTTCAGTGAGATTAATGTCTTGAAAAAAAAGACTTATAATAAGCTATATGCAGATTTTAGTACTTCTGTTCTCAGAGTTGACAAACTTAATTTAATTTAAATTTTGATCTAAAGAGTTTTCCAATTGTTTAATTATTTTCCTTTCCTTTTACATCATTTTTAAACCATCAAACAAGTGATTATATTCACAAAAACATTATTTTATGCTATTTAATCAACAACAGTGTTCATGAATTCTTGAAAAAACGTGAAACTGTAACAATCCTATTATCTTTGCACAATTGAAAAACTTAGGATCCCTAAGTTTTAGTCTACAATGTATTGGAAATGAATCGGTTGGGTAAATAAAACAAAAAAACTTCCTTAACTTTTTTGCAGAGTATATTTGTTAGCCGAACCAGGCCCTTTCAGGTTTAGAGAGGCCCAGGCGACTTTCAGCTTTTGAGGCCTCTGGCCATAATAGAAATAAAAATGACGACACATGAAAACCAAATAAGACCATCATTAGCTCGAAAAAAAGAGTGAAATATAATTTGAAGAGAAGCACGTAAAACATCAAGTCGCGAAACTAAACAAATGCCAAAAAAAATTATCAAGTGTCTAAATCTGAGGATCCCTTTGAGATTGAGGCCCAGGCCTAATGGCCCTCTTCTGGCCTCACTTTTGATTGGCCCTGAGCCGACAAGGATACAAAAATTGGGCAGTTCATGACAAAGCTAGTGTCTACTCTCTTAGACGGAGTACATTAATGTTTTTATGTATATGATGTCATCCTATCCCATTCTAGAACAGCATTATCTCAAGAATAAATAAAGTATTTCAAAGCTTCTTTTTGTAATTTAGAACTGCTTTGTGTACTCGTTAGTATTCTGATTGGTTTTTTGTTAAATAAAGATCGAAATAATGGCTGGAGACGGCTTGAATGGGTAATGAAGAAAAACTTTAATATTAGTTTACCATAACACCAAAAGATCGAAATGCTTATTTTTTCTTTGTTTAACATTGTGTTTAGTCTTCTTTTCCAACACATTGATTTTAAATTTTCAGATGTAAGTCCTTGATACATTTTCTGGCCATTCCTCCCTTTATTTGCAGTTACTACACGAAAGATGAATCAGAGTACATGAAAATGCCACGGGTATAATGGAAATCGTGAATTTTAAAGTTTATTCACTATTTTCTCCATTCGAAAACGAGTGAAATTCAATACTTTGATAAGGTGAAATTTTTGCTCTGTCGTAATTTCACTTATATAGTAAACTATAAAATGTTATGTTTTAATGAAGCAACTGCTAATTTTTCCTAAAACACTCAGTTTGAAGCATGTTACATAATACTAATTAAGTATTTGGAATGTGTAATTTAAAGTTCCTAATTTTTAGACGTGATATATCAACAAAGGACAGACAGATACATATAGTTATCATCTGACTTACTCTCCATAAACTATATTAATATAATTTCTATTTCCTTTATATGTAATATATTTGACTCGCTAAGCCAGTTTATTTTTAACATGAGATATAGTTAACCACTAGATGGCTTAATATATCCTGCCAATTGCCATAACAACGATGGATGTAGTCAAAATCGTTTATTAACCATACAGCTTTATATAGATTACAGGTAGATAAACATTTAAGTAGCGACATGACGTGTTACAGAATTTATTATTCATAATATTATACGTAATGTTTAGTTTCAAATTTAAGTAGCAGAATTGTGCTCTTTAAACAGAGGAGTAACTTCTGAAATTTAGTCTCGCATCACTTAACGTCGTATGTTAAAATAATAAATATTGTACTACAACTACAAATTCAAATTCGGACTGTTAGGCTTATTATTTTGAATAGGCCAATTAACTAATACGAAATTAATGTGCAATATTAATATTATTACTAGGATAATACTAATAGTAGACTAACAATGATTATTTGAAGTTTGGAAACGTCCTACAACACTGTTGTCAACAGTTTTATTAAATCGAACACAGAATTATTATTTCGGGAACTAGTTCGTGATATACTTAGTCTTGATAGTTTGGATTATTTTTACAACTTTTAGCTTTTTCATGTATGATAGTACCACTATTACTACAACTAGAATTTACATTTAACATGCTTGTCTGCTTTTCATTTGAGAGTAGGAACTTGGAGGTGATCTGGGTGAGCTTTTGATGAGTTCAGGGAAGGAAAGGGTACAAGTACTAAAAGTTTTTAATTTTGGGAAAAACACTAGTTAGGTAGGTTAACAGTTCAAATGTCATGAAATCACCGAGAATTAGGATTAGAGCCTGCTTATCATGGTTTATAATATGACAGTGAGAACTAATATTTGGATTACTGAAACTAAAGAAAGATACTCTTTTGGAAATGTCAGAGAAAGAAATGTTGGCAAAAGCAAATGGAAGCTATTAAATGTGTTCAAAGTGCTTTTTAGGTTCATTTCAAAATAAATATAATTAAGTAGCTATTTCTTATGTTTGCTGGGTTGGGTTTGAGCCTGAAAGTTTGATAAGTGTTCAATGATTAATTGCATGGTTATTAGTATGTATATAAAAGACCTAAAAAGGAACTAATTTGTGTAATACAAGAGCTTAATTAGTAAGTTAGATACTTTTGAGTTTAGGGGGAAAATTAAAAAGTTAGACAATCTTCTTTTTTTGGCAATCATAAATAGGCTTTGGCTTATCATTATTTAAATCAAAACTTCATATAATTACAAAATTTCTAAATCTGTGATGGAAGACATGTTATAGTGGATATTATGTTATTTCATAGCACTGTACTTATGTAGATTTGGTGAACAAGTAAAGTTAAAAAAAAATGTTACATTACTGTAAAGGGATGTTCTTGATGGCATGGTAATTTGGAAGAAATTCTGATGTGAAAAGAATATTAGATATAAATGAGACTGAATGTTGATATATAAAACCTTTAAATATTTGGGTTTGGTGAAACAAGCCATAATAGAGTTCAGGAATGTATTTATAGAAAATGTTAATTTAAAAAAAAGATGGTTATTGTAATGTTGTACACGTGAGATTAGCAAGGTCTCATTTTTCAGAGGCAGTTTTTGACCTCTATCTTACAGTAAAGATAAAAAATTTCTGGGAAAACTGTAGTATGATAACTAATTTCAAAAACTGAGTAACTAAGAGAGTGTTGAAGGCTTTGATAGTTTTTGTTTTTTTCTGGAGTGCAGAAGAACCAGAGATGATTGAGCTCAGATGTTTCTAATTACCAAGGGTTTGAATAACCCTAGTTCTGTTCAATAATGGAAAAATAAGGGTAGAAGTATCAACTTGAATGTTAAGGATGATAATTATTATAAACTTTGGAAACTCAGATCAGATTTGTTGGAGAGGTTGAGTTAGAAATTTCAAAATAATTGTCTTGGTGGTAATGAGTGTTATTTCGAACTTGTTTGAACTTATTGGATAGTTACGTATTTATTTCCAGAACTACACTTAGTTTGACCTAATTGCTTCAGGTGGTGGTTTAACCTCAATGGTCAGAATAACTTCCTATTGCTTTCTCGTGTTTTTACACCTTATTTTTAATTCTGTTTGCACTTAGTGTTTTTATTATTTTTCATATCATTAGGAAAGAAACTTTCCTAAGACAATTCTTTTCTTGTTTCTTTTATATTAAAAAAGTATACAGTTTATTTGCAGTGAAGAAGAATTTTTCGTTTGCAATAAAAAAAAATAAGTACAACTTATCATTCTTTATTTTTGTTTAGGTGTTGCTTGTATAGTAAAATATTAATAAGTATTTTGATATGTGTGATAAGAGAGAGATGCTGAGAGAGATATAAGCTGTTGTCAAAATGAGATCCATTTTCTTATAGCATATCAAAAGCAAGTATTGTTTACATGTAAAATGCACACAGTTAAAAACAAAAACAGATTAATTTTCATCTAAAGTGTGAACATTGTTTTATTAGGTCATTCCATACCAACTCAAACAAGAATATTCTCAATCAAATCTGATAAAGATAAAATTTTGTAGAAAGCTTGGTATTTGACAAAGAAGGCTATCACCCACATTTTAGGTCAAACCAACTTCCTGTTCCAATGGGCATTGAAGATTGACAAAGTTTTGATGCCAGATATTGTAACTTCCCTTGTAGTTGACAGAGAAGGGTGATTCTGATATCATTTTAAACCTGATGAAGAGCTCTATCTTTATCATTTCATGGAAAAATTGAGAAATGGAGGACAAAAGTTTTTGTTTTTTTACCTTGACCTTGTTCAAATGATGTAACCTCAGATTTTATTCCGAGTCTTACATATCTTAGCACCTATACTCAACAATAATTCCTATAAGTTTGAAAGTATGCATTTCAATACTGTATGATTTTGAGATCATTTTTTTAAGACAGCTTTGGGTGGAAAGGAATCATTCAGATTGATAACAAAGATTTTACCTCTGACTAAAGCACTTCTAGTGATGAAAGTAGGAACTAAATAGTCATGTGATCAACTAGTCTTGCAAATGGCCACCACTTTGCTAGCAGGAGTTTTGATTTGTCATACATTTTCTGCCTGTGATATTTATAGTTCCTTAAAAATGTACAGATTAACCTACAAAACCATGTATATAATGTCTTAAAGAAAAGCACTAAGACTTTATCTTACTTGTGATAATGATGTGCAGTGAAACAGAAACATAGTTTTCTCTCACAAAAAACAAACAAACTGTATTAACAGTTATTGAGCACCAGATAATCCACCGGTTCCAGATTTTGTGAAATCATATCCAAAGGAAATTTTGGATCAACTGAAGAAAAAATTCAACTCTTTTGATGCATGGAGTGACAAGGTCAAAGTGTTGACAGTTGTTCCCATTTTTTGGTCAGGTTGAAGAGCAAAAAAAGAATTTGAAGCAATATTCCTCACATAAAGGCTGCCTCTAATCCAAATCCAAAAAGTGGGAGGACTGAACAATGAAATACCAGACAAAGTGAATACATTCTGCATGACAGAAGATATCAGGTAACTTATGCCAGGGAAGATAGACTTTATTTTTGTCTTGAACTCGGAGAACAGCAAGTGAGAACATAAGCAGAAATGCCTGGATCTTTGCGACATTGGAGAAACATTTCAGTTATTTTGCATTGAGAATCCTCAATCCAAAGTCAATTTTTCAAAGTTTGCCGAACTTCAGCTAAAGGAATGTTTCTTGACTGGAAGGTGCAGTCCAGTGATGGTGATTTGAACTGGAGTTTAACTAAGCATTATCTATAATTTTGGAGAGTAACATCATCTCCTGAAACAATGGATGCAGCTTTGTCCTCACCAAAATCAGTGACATGAACACACACACACTGAGTAAATTCTGTTGTTTTCATCCAAGACACAAAGTGCTTTTGCTCAGTAATGAAGTTCAACTTTCTGAGGGCTTTAATTGAATTTTAACATACGGAATTAATTCTTTTTGTATACGTCTTCCATGGGTACAGTATGAATGGATTGTAACATACCTTAGTGTCTCTTGCACTAATAAAATGTACTGAAAAGCTCACCATCAAGCCATACCCATTTCACTCTCTGTGTCACCAAAACTTACGGATGTATTTACTAAACAATGTCACAAGTAAGGTAAAGTCTTGGTCTGGACATCTTATACAAGGTTTTGTAGGTTAATGTAAGTTTTTAGGGCACTATATATATATCACCGTTGACTACAGATCATTATAGATGCATATAAGTTTATCAAGAGGCAGAAACTCTTACCTTATGAACAGAAAAAAATAGCAGTCATCACAGCTCCTGCTAGCAAAGTGGCACCCATTTGCAAGACCAGTTAATATCATGACTGTTTAGTTCCCACTTCCATTGCTAGAAGTGGTGTGGATAGTGGTGAAATCTGCCTTAATCATTCCTTACCACCTGAAGCTGTGTCAATAAAATAGTTGTAACTCCCAAAGTATTGGGAATTATTATCAACTACGTGTGTTACTATATAGAAGATTTTTAAGAAAATCTGATGTTACATCATTTGATCATTACCAAGTTGAAGTTAGAAAATAATATTTTTGTTTTCTCCTGAGCTTTAAAATAAAATCATTTCACCTTTTCACATCAAATGCGAGGAAAGTTACAATGCCTAGAAGGCCACCAAGTGGTCAAGGTCAGTTCACAATTTGTTTACCTCCATTTGGAGAATAAGAAGTTTAATTGACATAAAAGTTTGTTGGTAAATCTGCTGCTTGCATACAAAGCTACATCCTAAAGATCCTTAAAATTGATGGTTATGCTAATTTTGCCCAGTTTTTCATTGATTTGGCATGGAGTGACTCTGTTAAAGATCATGATACTAGTCCATTAATTAATTTACTATTGTTTTACAGAGTTTCTACATTGTTATTTTAAACCTAAAATAGTTTGTGGAAAAAAAATGTATATGAATGGTTGGCTGTTTTAAAATTAGACATTTTGTAGAGCAGGTTAGCTTAAGTACTTTGATTCATATACTAGTAATTTAAGAAAGCCAATTTGGGGCAATAATATATATATATATATATATATATATAGTTTTTGGAAGTGTATATTTTGCCCTACATGTAGAATCTAGACTAAAATCAATTTATGTGTTAAAAATTTCCAGGATCACCTTTCCAATGAAAAGTCTTATAATTTTCATAATATACTGTGTTTTACAAGTGTGTTAAAGTACTATTTTTCACAGTTCAAAGATAAGGCTTAACCGCTAGTTATTTAGAGTATCCAAGTTAAAATTTGATAAGAATAGCATCTATGATTTATTCTTGTGTGTGATATTAGCACAGATATTTAATTTTCCAGCAGTTAGAACTAAAATAATTCAAAACAAAGAATAAAGGGCTGACCATTTGTGTATGGAAGTAGCATCATGAAGCTTAACAAACATTGTATAAAGTTAAACATTGTTATATAATTTTAAATTGTTCAAAATGCATAAGTAATTGTACTAGTTCGTATTCTGTGTCAAAAAACTAGTGATTGTTGATGTTAAAGTATGCTTGAAATGGCTTTTCTTTTTAACACAGAACATAAATATTGTGTTCTGCATCATGTGGTTTCAAGAATCAGAAAAGGAACAGGAACGTCAGAACTTGATTCAGAAAATGAAGCAGGAACAGACTATAAGAGAAGGAGTTGAATCTGCAAAACGTATAGAGGATATGCGACTTCTGAGAAGGTTAGAGCTGGAGCAAGAAGAGAGGAAAGCACTTGAAATATTGACTGAAGAAAGTAGAAGAAGACACATGTTGGAAGAACAGAGAAAGAAAGAAGAAGTAGTTGCTTGTGAACTAGAAAGACAGAATAAGAATGCTATCAAAGAAGAAAAGTTTCGCCAACAAATTCGTCTGAACAGTTTAGAATTAAGAGAACTTGAATCCAAACTAAGAGAAGCATATGTGAGTAAAGAAAGAGCACTTCAGTTAGCTGAAAAAGAAGTACAAAAAGCTATTAAAAAAAGTGAAGAAGAATGGTGGTCGAAAGAGCTAGAAAAAATCAAGGAAGATATCGAAAGGAGTGAAAAAGAAAAGCAAGTTAAAGACTTTAAGATGAAAATTCTGTACCAAAAGCAACTAGATGACCAAATTGAAGAACAAGAAAAGAAGAAAGAAGCTGCCTATTTGGAGTTTATGCATGAAAAATTTATGATAGATCAGATTGTTGCAAAGATAATGGAAGAAGACCAAAAAGAACTGGAAGAAAAGATCCATAAGCAACAAAAAACAAAAACATTTCTTGAGGAATCCAGGAGGTCAAGACAAGAATTGGAAGAGAAGGAAAAGAGAAGAAATGAAAAAGAGAACCAAGAGATAAGAGAGTACCTGACGTACCAAGACATTCGTAAAGAAGAGCAAAAACAGGAAAGACGTTTGAAAAATGAAAAGTATGAAGAGCTTCAGCAAATACTACAAGCCATTTTGGAAAAGCAGAAAGAAGAACGTGAAGAATTAGAAACATTGCGGTTAGAGCTTGATGCTGCGGAGAAGGAGGAGGAGCAGAGAAGAAGAGATAAAGAAGAAATTGAAAATAAGCTTCGACAGCGTGTCGAGTGGAAAAAAATTCAAGAAGCAGAATTAGAATTAAAGGCAAAAAGACAAGATGCAGAAAAGGAAGAAGAGGAATACTATAGAAAGTCTCTACTACAAAAGTATGCAGAAGACGATAGACTTGAGCAATTGACAAAAGAAAAGCGTTGGCTAAAACAACTGGAACACAGAAAGGAAGTTGAAAAACTTATAAAAGAAAGGCGAGCTCAACGGCTTGCAGAAGCAGAAAGAGAGAAAGATGAAGAGAAACGACAAAAAGAAATGGAACAACAACGCAAAGAAATAATTGAAGAAGAAAGACAGCGTCTGCTTAAAGAGCATGCAGAAAAACTTCTTGGCTACCTCCCCAAAGGTGTAATAAGAAGTAAAGAAGACCTAGAAAAATTAGGAAGTGTACTTCAAGAATATTATTCACAAAAGTATACTGAAGAGGACTGAATGAAATTGATATGAATTAATAAGTTTACTGTTATGAACGAAATATCTTCAAAAATCCTAATTTTGACTGAAGTAAAATGAATTTCATGGTGTTAGTTGTAATAAATAAGAGGGTGTTTGTGACTTAGAGATATATTTTATATTTTTATTATTTCATTCAATACTTTATGAATCATTCAGAATAAAACATACATATAACTCGGATAAACAAGTTTTTTTTATTTAATTCTGAAGTGACAAAATATTTTTGCAATGACATATTGAAAGCTTTAATTACAATTTTTACCGCATTTTTCACTCTAAAATATTTAACATCTGAATTAGATTTAAATTTTCAAAATGTTTTTTCACGTATTTTATTGTAGTATGTTGTTATGTATCTGCTTGTTTGTTTCCGGTGGAAATTCTTTCTGAGGATCTTCAGCGTTACAAGTCCTTTCTTCATTAAACCAGTTACTAGTACTCAGTAGTTCCACAATTAGTACGTTTCTCGTTACTTTAAATTTAACAACTTTTATAATACGCTATAAATCACAGCGATTCATAATCTCGATAACTTTGCTCTCGACGAGTGCAAAACACTTTATGGCTCACTAGCTCGAAACTAACAGAATCATAAATTACACGGAACTCAGACTAACTACTGCTCTCTCTTCATTCATCTATATCCCCGCTGGCTTTCTCTGCCAGGCTTATATACTAACGAAGAGGTCACCTCGAACACACTCAGACTTCCCTGAACATTCGAGAAATTCATCACGCACGTCATGTGACTACCACTGTCGTAACAATGTGTTTTTTCAGAAATTATATATTTTGAGTTGTTTTTTGCTTCTTTGTTTTCACAAACGGTGCACCACATCGTAGAGTAGGAAATTAATGTATTCTGTAATTATGAAATAAAATACTTAGAAATATTAGTAGAATATAAAACAGCAATGGATTTTTAATAAAACCTTTTATTAGGTAACATTTTAAATACTGGTTTGTAATACGCATTTGCGTATTTTTAAACTAATAGAACAGCTACATAGTTAAAACTTAAGAATATGCCTTTAGTATAATGAAATAATTTATACTAAAATTCTCACAAAATACTTGGTGAACTACATTTGTGATTATACTAGGTTTACTGCTTCTTCAAAGTTGCAAATATTTTTTTTTCTCTCAGAATAAAGATATAAAACGAATCAAAACCTAGTAGGTCCCACACTGGGGCAGCGGTAAGTCTACGGATTTACAACGCTAAAATCAGGGGTTCGATTCCCCTCGGTAGGCAGAGCAGATAACCAGAGAATAAAGATATATAACGAATCATATCCTAGTAGGTCCACCACTGGGGCAGCGATAAGTCTACGGATTTACAACGCTAAAATCAGGGGTTCGATTCCCCTCGGTAGGCAGAGCAGATAACTCGATGTGGCTTTGCTATTAGAAAAACATGCATATCCTAGTAGCTAACTAAAAAATATAAAGACCAAAATATTTTATTCCCGGAAAATGTCTGATGACTTGGCAGTACTGTAGTGGTTCAACAGTAAGTCTGGGGGTTTACACTGTTAAAAACCGGGTTTCGATACTTGTATTGGGCACAACAAACAAACTATACAGTGACGCATTGCCGTAGAAAGCAATTCTGGAGTGGTCAGGCTATTGCCACAGGTAAACAATGTGTGAAAAGCATGCCGTTTCTATTTTTAATGCTATGAGATTGAATCTTGAGCCATTTTAACTACAAATTCTGCATACACACAACGTAATATGTTTTAAAAAGGCAAGTTTTAATTCCTAAGTTGTAGCTATACATGGCATGAAAAATTGGTCAGACCATGACCTGACTGGCCCTACCACTTCCTACGGCCATGTGACGGACAGGTTTATGTTACAGGGTTATAAAATGTATTTTCGAAGGTTAATATCTATACAGCAAGGTTGCTAGACGATGGATATTCAAATAATACAACATTTCAAACAGACAATCTTTAAAGACCTCGATAGGAACAGTTCGTACAGCAAAACGTGTAGGACAACAACAGAATTTGAAACACACCTGACTTAGAGCAACGCCCTCACCTTCAAGTTAAAAATCTATAGTTACAAAGAGAAAGAAAGAACAATGTTTAACCCAAAAAGTAATTGTGATGAAGAGATGAATAACTCCTGGTACCATTAACAAATTAGTAAACAAAGATCACAAAATTCCAGTCATAGGGCTATTTTAATTAGAAAGATTGTTAAAGAATTATAATCTATTTCAACTATATATCGGTCAATCCCCCTGCTTATCTGCTTAAAAGTACTCGTGGAATCCGATTTTGGAAAACCCACAGAAAATTTATCAAGACGTGGTGTAAAAACCACCTCTACAGCTTCTGCAAAAGTTTGATGTATTATGGATATCGCGGTGAGGACGTCCATCAGAGTGAGCACGACTGACGAAGAAGAAAGCATTTCTAAGAGCAGCACTGGACCTGGAATATCACTCTTATAAAATATGATTAACCTCAATAATAGAACATATTATTCTTCATCAAAATTTTTACTAATTCGAAGGAAATATATTTTAACAAAAACTTGCTTACAGATAAGAAAAAGTGAGATATATGGCACATAACAAGAGAAGGATGTACTGTAATTGTAAGGACATAACATTACCATTTGTACTAACGATTCTCAACTGAAACTTGAATATTTTAATGTGCAACTTAAGTACAGAAAGCTCAAGTTAAAAAAAAATGTTTTTGTCCTTGACGAACACCACCGCAAGAAATGATTTACACATTAATCCTTGATAGGTAACGGTCTACAAATATGCCTTTGATCTGGTAACACACTGCTTATGTCCTTTGTCGAACGTTATCTGTAATGTTAAATCGACATGTTAACTTGTTAAATTTTATTTTAATTCCTACGTTTGAAACAGTTGTGAAGTGCATACAAGGCCTGTCAGGTAGAGATGAACTGGAATATTTTGACAATAACCCACTTACCATAAAAAAAAATGACCTCTAGATAATGCCTTCGGGTTGTTAGTCAATGTTATCTTTATATGATGTATCTATATAAAGGTGGTTTTCTGAACAGCTTTTTTCTAGAAGATGATTGAATGTAGAAGAATTCTTCTCGTGCTTCTCGGTAAGTCAGCTCGTTTACTTATATTTGCATTTCTTTTCAAATCTGACAATTTAAACTATAGAATTCAATCATAAAATCAAATAAAATCGCACATATTAACGCTACAAAATGTTAATATTATAACAACTATAAAAATTCAAAAGATATAACTTTAGAGGAACACACTTGCCTAATTAGTTCTGAAAATGAGTTGGAGATATTCCGTCTCTCATGAGCTCCCAGTGGCTCAGCGATAAGTTTATAAGCTTATAACCCTAAGAATCCGGGTTTTGATACCCATGGTGGGCACAGCACAGATAGCCTATTGTGTAGCTTTATGCTTAACAGCCAACAACCAATTGTCTTTCCTGATATGTTTCAAATCGCAGATAGAAAAATAAAAATAAGGGTCAACATCCGAAAATCAAGAGTCTATCGATAAGAGGTATAGATAGGTTCAAGCGCTTAAAGCGACAACGCTCTCAAAAATCCTTACTGTCGTTCATTGTCTACGGCGAGCATCTCAGATAATGTAATTGCTACGCGTCCCTCGACTCGCAGTCTGCGGGTCGCGGGTTCGAATCCCCGTCCCACCAAACATACTTGCCCTTTCAGCCGTGGGAGCGTTATAATGTGACAGTCAATGCCACTATTCGTTGGTAAAAGAGTAGCCCAAGAGTTGGTGGTGGGTGGTGATGACTAAATTAGGGACGGCTAGCGGAGATAGCCCTCGTATAGTTTTGCGCGAAATTCAAATCAAACAAACAAAGCTATGCGCCCTCTTTAAATTTGTCACTAAAATAAATTCCCGTTCAAAGGAAAACAAAATAGCATAAATAAAATCACTTGTGGTTCAGACGATTTCAGCTCTCACTCACTTACTCCAACATTTCGTAGTAACACAAACAAGTGCATTTATAAAGAACGTAGCAATTCTAGGGTATGGTCTTTTTCAGAATATTCGCGTTCTTAAAAGTTTCAGAAGGAACTTAGAAACGTTTCAGTCAAGTATTAAAAGCCTTTACTCAACGTTCTACTTAACATACATTGAGTGATGTTCCAAAAAATTGAAAATCTATCACAACACCTTCAAATAACTTAGACAATTTAAATTTATGGCTTGGTTTGAATTTCGCGCAAAACTACACGAGGGCTATCTGCGCTAGCCGTCCCTAATTT